CCTCACTCTCTCTCCTTCTCTTGGAGAACCCGCGCTCCTTCATGATCTTGGCTCCTGTCTATCTCCGTATATGCTCCTTCCTTCTCCTCCCCTCCCTGCCACCTTCTCTACGATTTAGAACTCTTTGGAAGACGTGAGGAAGAAATGTCCTGACAGTTATAATAATCTCTATGAATTGAAAGGCTTTTACGAAAGAAATTTCTCAATAAAATCAACTTACGAACACGTTATCTGGTTTAACTTTTGGCCGGAGAATTTGTAGATATTAAAAATAATGTAAAATTATTAATGTTAAAATAAGTCTTCTCTCTCCCTCCCTCCCTCCCTCCTTCCCTCTCCCTCTCTCTCTCTCTCTCACACCTTCCCTCCCTCTCTCTCTCTCTCTCTCTCTCTTTCTCAAGCGAATAATTTATATTTACATTTCAACAAAAAAAAAGTTGCATGTAAAGCGCGCAAGTTGGACATTTCTTTAATTGTAAGAAGATAAATATAACAAAGATTATTATTCGTGATAATTTCCATCTCTTTGCTGATCCAAGCGCGAATTACGCAAAGTAATTTTTATCTCGATCGTTTAGATCAGCATGAGAGTACTATTTATATTCGCGTCAAATTGAGAAAGCGCCACTTCTCGCCGGTTAAAAAGAAGAAAGAAAGCTCTATTAGCGGTGGGAAATGAAAAGGGGCCAGATGGGTACGTCGGGAGGATGAATGGGCGAAGGGGGAAGGTGACAGTAACTACCATTGGAGCTTACAGTTTCCGAGACCGATCCCGGCGAACGTTCCCGCAAAAAATGCCAACGCCACCCACACCGTGTCAAGACCTCCCCCGTTCACGGGACCAGAGGTTAGCTATTCATGCATTCAAGGCGCCACCGCAGAAGTTATTCGAAGCAGACCGTGCATCATAACGCACATATCTAAAGGTCTCTAAAAAAACACTTATCGTCGCGCGCCGATTTCCGCCGATTTCGCACATCCAGTTCTCTCCTGGCATTTATTTCTTTTTTTTTTTTTTTCATCTTCCGTAGTTGACAGATATTATAATGTCTCTTTAAAAATAGATGAAATTCGAAAGTAAAGAGCTACTGGAAAGGAGCAAAGTTTCAAAAGTTTTACAGTTTTCGGATCTATAATTAAAGCCTCGAAGATTTAAACCTTAAAAATCCAAATTTAATGCTTCTTGCAAATTTGTAACGAAAGTAGAAACATTTATCTCATTGTTTCATTATCCAACTAAAAGCATAGAATTGAATTTACACTGCGCGCGTCTAATGTCTTAAAGTCCTTGAAGCCGCCGTCAAATAAAAATGCTCACCAAACTGCGGACCGTCTGTCCGAGCAACGAGATGATTTATCGCTTCCTCAAGACGTATCCGTAAGAAATCGAGACGGGGCGACCAGGAAGAGGGTGAGGTAACGGGGGGATGAACAGGAATGAGAAAAACGAGCACGAAACCCAACGAGAACGGAGAGAACGTCTGTTCGACGGTTGTTGGAAATATCGGTGCCTCGTGTTTCCTCGTTGTGTGTGTGTCTCTCTTGCTCTCTCTCTCTCTCTCTCTCTCTCTTTCTAATCGATCAGGCTTTCAGCTTGATTTATCATCCCGCGAAAGACGCGAGTATTGCATCGGCAATGCTGTCGTTGTCGTTATAGCTTGGTATCCGCGTCGTAGTTCAAACGTTTCGCTTCTCGCATGTTCGTAATAGCAGCAATATAACTGCACACGTAGTCAGCTTAGAAGCTGGAGATATGTTGTAATAATTAGACATCATGATTTCAACCTTTTTTTTCTCCTTCTTTTACACGCGTGAATCTTCAGATCGTTAAATCCTCCCATGTAGACTGTAAAAAATTTTCTAAAAATTCAGACACATTTTAATCTAAATTTTCAAATCTAGCTGTCTGAAAGAAATTTCAAACAATCTGTCTTAATCATCAGAATCGTTTTTCGGAAAGTTCAGAAGAGTTTGTCTGACAATTGAAGTTTGTTGGAATTTTCAGACAGCATTTTATCTGAAAATTCAGACAGTCTCTGCAAAAAAAACTGCAGACAATGAGGAATTCTATTTAAGAAAATATCGATCACATTGACCTTACCTTGAAAAGGTCACTCAAGGTCAAGTCCATATTTTTATCATGTGACCCCCTCGAAACCATGCAACTTTTGTCTGAAACATTTTTGTCTATCGGGTTCAGTTTTCGAGATATTCGCGTGAATTGATTAAAATGGTATTATTAATTGTAATTATTAATTGTGATTATTATTTAATTATTATTAAAGTAAATTGCATTTAAAATTATTATAAAAATGCTTATTTATGATATGTGGATCTAGATGATGTAGATCTATAAATAATTGTCACTTTACGATTCGGAAAAAATTTACTTACGGGGCGATTCGCTCTACGTATTGACGTTAAGCCGCATCGTTAAACAAAATAAAGGATATATAGATAAGAGAGAAGATTCGTCCAGAATCTTGTGAATTCTGTGTAGAACACTGTCTACCTCGCTTATTAAGGAATTCGATTTAACTTGTCGCGCGTTACATTAAATTACACGTCGTCCGTGACTTCGAATGCGAGTCTTTAGAATTGAGAAAAATACGAAGACGATAGCACAGAAATAGACACGCATGTTAACTGCGTCTGTTAATTGCCAAATAAATTTACAATACCCGAAATAGCTGTTCAGTACTTGCGTCGGACTAAATGCGATTGCTTGCTTGATAATCGTTTAGTTTAAAATCATCTTAAATGACTTACCGTTAAACCAAAGTTATATAAAATTTCGATCGTTTCTTCTCGCGGAGCGCGATTAGGGGTTCAGTATTAATTTCGTCGAAGCGACTCCGCTCTCTGAAGAAGTCTTTCGTGGAACCGAACGGAAGCGCTCGCCGTATTTTTTGTTTTTTCACGTATCTTAAAATCACAAAAAAAAAGCGCGTAAAAGTCCTCAGTGACGTGCCCGCGATTCCCGAAAGACATTAAAATTAAATATTACAGGTAATTTAAAAATGAGGGGTGTCGAGATCGGCCACCACGTTTAAACCCACGTATAAACGGGAGGAAACGGCGAGGGTAGATAAGGGGGATGGTGGGGGAGAAGGAGAGACGGCCTCCCTTAAAAATTCGAGACGTCGATACTACCGGCAGGATCTAAATCAATGGAACGGAAAGGTAAAATTAAATACGCAGTAAATTGTATCGTAAAGTCTCCGGTACGTGGCAAAAAATCGGTCGCGCATACACGTCGTTAAAGCTTTATAACTCGGTTGAATGCATTTTAATTATAAGTCTCGCCCTCGCCCTTCCCCTCTCTCACTCTCTTCCCGAAGGAAGAGGGACGTGCATCTTTCGTTCCCTCGCGCTCTATCGCACAGGATTGAACTTTCTCGCGTTTTGATTTTTTAACCGGTCCAACAACTCTAAGGCGCCCCATTCTTTTCTCTCTTTCATCATACAGGTTTTTATCGCTTCTTAAGATTATCATTTCAATCATTTTTCAATGAGTTAAAGATTTTTAGACTTTACATAAATCTTTATAGCATATAGCATTAAAATAAGATTCGTATAATACAAAAGAAATTTCTTTTTTTTTGTCATTGCAATGATGGAAAAACGCATTCGATTTGCTAGAAATCGTTTATATAATTGCGTGTGTGAATCTCTTATAAACGGAAACAAATTATATAAAAAATCGATAAAATTATTATTTTCAAGTTTAATATTAAAATGATTAACCTTCCGATTTACTCAGACTTTATTTTTAACTTTAAAGGATGGATAGCGATAAGGTCCCAAATCAGCATCACAATACCGCTTTTTCTTAAATATACGGAATGGATTTTCTTTCATATCCTAGTAAATATATGGAGTAATGGAATACAAAAATATTTTTTTATTTCGATCTTATTTATTCAAATGTCATTATTTATTGATTTCATTAATGTATCAACAATATTTTACTAGTGCAGTCTTGTTTAAGTAGTTGTTCAAGGACAAAAAAATACCTAAATCATGCTGTTTTATTGCTGTAAATTGTATATATAAATAATATAAATATTTCAATACAACTTACATTTATTAATATTACTAATAATACTATCATTTTATAACAAAAACAAAACAAAAAAAACTAAGAGCCGATCGCCACCTATCTTTTGGTTTGATACATAAAGAAGTAAAAATTTTGTTTTGAAATAACCCAGACAGCACAAGGATGTCCTTAGGACGTCCAAAGGGCATCCAGGACATACATGTAGGATATCCTGAGGATATCCTATTTTAATCCTCGGATCTCCTCTGGATGTCCTGAGGAAGAATAAATGATAGCCGTACACTAGCCTCTAGAGAATCCAGGGTCAGTTATCGCATACGAGACACTCTCCTCCGTGAAGAACGCCGGGAAAATCGCGTACGCTGATTAAGGCCCGTTTAGTATGCGCGAAACGGACCCACACTGATAAATAGCTCCGCTTCTTCTAGCGGCGCAAAAAACCCACGACTAGCGCCACGACCGACTCGGTCGTGCCGCATACGAAACCATATGCGGAATATGGTGTGCTCTGTGCGTGCTCTCTTACGGGATTCCAGACGTCCTGGAGCCTGCTGGAACAGCGAGAGATTCGAGATTCGAGGTAGCACGAAACTAGCACCCTGAATTGAAAATTCTTCCGTAAAAAAAAACAGACTGTTAGATTTATAGTATTCTCCAGAGATATACTTTTTAAAAAAGAGAAGAATATTAATAATTCCCTTTCTTTTGAAGAGAGAATCAAAAGAGAGAATCAAAGTTTTTAAGAGATTTACGCAGTTCCCTTTGACATTCTGAAATTTTTTTCAGAATGTCAAAGGGAACTGCGTAAATCTCTTAAAAACTTCAACGATTGAAAAAGCATATAACGATTAAACAAAATGTACAAGTGTCATCATTGGAACGAACTCAGAGTCATGAGGTTTCGTGTACATAAAAAAAAAAAAAAAAAAAAA